TTCCCTTTTGTTTTCCTTTCCCCCTTTCCCCGTCCTTTTTTTTGGGGATTTTCCCTTCCTCCCGGATTTTTAGGACAAGGGAAAAGTTTCCCCCCCCCATTTGCCCCCCCCCCCCCCCCCCCCCAGCTAGGCTGTAGCCTTCGCGAGGATGTTTATCTTGGTTTTGGTGGGGGGCACGGGATTAGGGTTAGGGGTTAGGGATACGAAACCCCCCTCTGCCTAATTCATAGAACAACAATAAAATGTTCGCGAAGACTGTCCCAGCTGGGCTGCCCGATGGCCTCTGTGTGCTCACTTTTTTTTTATTATTGTTATGACCCAACGAATCCATCTCTATCTATAGAAAAGCGTCTAAGATAGATTAGCAATGAGTTCATAGCGTCAGAGAAGGCTACCTGTATTTCCACGACTTCGTTTTTTTTTCCATCTCTATTTTTTATTTTGTCAGGACGGGGGTTACGCCGCGTGGGCGACGGGCCGGAAGCGAGGGAAGGCCGAGCCGGACAGCCACAATTACGAGCCCGACGAGAGCGAAGTGTGGCGAACGCACCAGGCCCAGCGGCATTTTAGAGATCGGGGAAGGTATGGGTCAACACGTTAATGGTGGTGATGATAATGATGATGACGACGGCACTGCTGTGTGTGTTTTTTTTTTTTTTTGTAGATTTTTTTTTTTTTTTTTGTACAGGGATTTTGTTGAAAAACAGCATTCTTGCTTTGTTCCAAATGGAGCTTTTGGTAAAGGTTCGCCCAAAGGACATAGTGCTGGCTGGGGAGGGGGCGGGGGAGAAGGGTTGTGCGTGTGAATGACATGGGCGATGGTTGTACAGCGTTGTAAATTACGCCATGGCCGGAGCGATTTGTTTTTTCGTCTACCGAGAGCGCTAGCTAGTCATGCCATTGTCATTCGTGGTGAAAAGCTCTGCTCTACGATACAGACTTTTCTTTTTAGAGAAAACCCACGCAACCACTGTAAAGACTACCCGTTTTTGAGAAAAAAGCTGCCGAAGTGAATTTATTGTAAGTCTTCGCAGCGAGTAGGCAAGACAATCCCGCTGGATACTGGGGTTTATTTACTTTTTTTTAGTCTGCATTCTGGGAATGTATTGAGTCTGAGCGTACATAATATTTGTAAGAAAGGTGTACCACCCCCTCTTTGGGTGTTTTGACTTGTGACCACGAAGGGAAAAGGTCCGCCACAGTCAGTTGGACCATTACGGGCATTAGAAGGTACTTACTAAACGGAGGCTGGAACGGTTTTTGATTGGAGATAGTTTCAGCTGTGACGCGAGCTCTTGGCAATATGTACACAATGCACGACTTGACCTGTCAAGACAAACAACAAGAAGAACAACAACGACATACGGTGAAGACCTCTGTGCCGCACACGCGCGCGCGGCCGGAAAAACACACAAAACAAACGGCCGCACGCGGCAGGTGGTGGACTACGAGCAAGCGGCGGGCGGCGAAGCGTTGGGCGATGACCCTCATTGTCGGCGCCCTGACGGGACTGATCGCCGTATTCGTCACGTTCTGCACCAAGACCCTCCTCAACGTCAAGTTCACTCCGGTCTACACCGCCCTCCACATCGCCGGAGGTCCGTTCCCTCGGCTTTTTTTTTTTTTTTTGCTTCCCGCGGCAAAGCGGTGGTGGCTTTTTTGCCCTTGCGTGGGTCTTGTCTGCAGCGTATTCCTGGAAGAGTTGAAGGTTGTCCCTGTGTCGCATGAGCCTTCGAGTATCTCCATCGGCCCCACCGTTCACATGATCCAGGAGGCTGGTGTTGCGTGTGTTGTCAGAACATCACTGAAATGAAGACCACGGCATCAACACGCGGTGTTCCTCTTGTCCCTTGCATGGCCTGTCACACCCGGTAGTGGACTTTTGTCCCACTGAAGATGGGGCGTGTATGGTGACTCATGCGCCCTATCTTCACAGCCTTCCGCACGTGGCTGCAGTTCGGTCGGTTTGGTCGCCGTTGGTCCAGCCGCGCACGCCTCTCAGCTCTCTCAACCGTTTTCCAATCGAGAGGCTTTCTTTTCAGCGTCGGTCGTCTACAAACGTTCGGTAGAGGCTTTAATCTCTTGTGTTTCCGGCGTGACCCACCCACCAACAAACCCCTTCCGTCCCGAACCGATATACCATGGTATTCAACAAGAATGGTGCCATCGTGGAAGGCCGTGACCCACCCACCAACGAAACCCTTCCATCCCAACCGATACGTTATTAACCCTTGATGGAGAGCCGTCCTCCGCCCACCAACAACACAATTCCATCCCAACTCATATGTTGTAGACCCTTGATGGAGAGCCGTGCTCCGCCCACCAACAAGACAATTCCATCCCAATTGATACGGTACGGTACACATGAACAGGCCCTTCATGGCGGGCCTTCCTGGTGATGCTGGGGTTCAACCTGTCGTACGTGACCGTCGCGAACGGGCTGGTGTGGCTCGAGCCGCTGGCCGCCGGTTCCGGCATCCCCGAGATCAAGAGCTTCCTCAACGGCATCGACCTGCCAAGGGTGGTAAGGGCCGCCTTCTTCTTTGCGAGAGATTAAGCTCATGAGGAAATAGAACAGGCAGGGAGTACGCAGACCCCATCCTTGACCCAACTTCCCCAATTGCAAGCTGTATCCAGCATCGAAACACCCTGGGTGGTAAGCGTGTCTGTCGGTCGGTCGTGTCTTAATTGTTTCTTTTTGAGCCAACCCAATGACTGCGATGTCATAAACATTTTGTTTTGCGGGCGCGATGCGGAGATTCTTGCATCGGCATTTCCTTCGAGGTACAGCAGTAGTTGGCGTTGTTTCGGCACTCCGTTCCCGTCTTTTTCAGACCCGCAGAGGAAAGTCTTAACACACTCGCGAAATATTTAGCCCGACCCCCGTGCCAAACGAGTTACGTTTGGGGACGGGGGGGGGGAAGCTCTTGATGGTAGCTGCCTGCAGTCAGTGACACAGCGGCAACGACGGCGACCAATCAACGAGCAGGTGCGGGTGAAGACGCTGCTGTGCAAGGTGCTCGGGGTAATGTTCTCGGTCGCGGCGGGGCTCCCGGCCGGGAAGGAAGGGCCGATGGTGCACTCGGGGTCTGTCGTTGCAGCGGGAATATCGCAGGTGATTTTTGCTCGCTTGCCTGAAGGTTTGTGTGTGCCTTTTACCGCTGTGGCTGTGGTTTATGGGGATGGGGATGGCTGTGGGATTTGGCCTTGTTGTTGTTGTTGTTGTTGGCTTGTTGCTGGTGGTGGTGGTGGTGTTGGTTGCTGGCGTGTCTTGTTTGTGGTGGTGCTAGTTACCGCTGCCCTTGATGTTTCTGGAGGTGTGAAGGTGTTACTGATGCTGTTAATATTGTCTTCGTTTTCCTCGCCGTGCTCCACACGTACACGTATTCATACGGAACGACACTAACGCCAGCCTCTCACCATCCTTTCCCCCCCCCCCCCGCCGCCCTCCATTTGATTGGCCACCACTCGCCGCCACCGCCAGGGCAAGTCCAACGTCCTGGGCTTCGACACTTCCTTCTCCAAGTTCCAAGACTTCAGGAACGATCGCGAGAAGCGAGACTTCGTGGCTTGCGGGGCGGCCGCGGGCGTGGCCGCCGCGTTCGGAGCTCCTATCGGTACGACAGGAGAGGAGAGACATTTTTTTTGTTCTTGTGAGGGTCGGGTCAGGGGAGACGACTTCGCTCGCGACATGGTGATGATAGTGATCATCATCATCATCACCATCATGCTCTTATCGATACAAGAGGAGAGGCATTTTGTTTTCGGGGGAGGGAGGGGGGGGGGCGAGTGCGCTCGTGACATGATGATATTGCGTGACTGCTGTTGTTCACGTCCATACCAAACGCTAGACCCTCAAATGGCAGCGCCTACGATGCCGGCGTGCAATGCGTCGGGGTTTCAACCACCAGGCGGGATGTGTGTGTGGGGGGGAGTGAGGACGGGGTGATATTTTGTTTGCATCCAGGTAGCTGCTCGTGGGCCATTGGTTTCGGTTGGTCGACGGGCTGCTGAGCGTTGTGTTCGGGCGGGGGCGGCGGCGCGTGTGGCGAGGCGCGACTTGTTTCAGCTGTTCCCGAAGACCGTTCTTTTTTTTCTAATTTTTTTTTTCAATTTTTGTTTGGTCCTCTCTTGTTGTCATAAGGAGGCGTTTTGTTCAGCCTGGAGGAAGGAGCCTCATTCTGGTCGACCAAGCTGACGTGGAGGGCGTTCTTCTGCGCGATGATGACAGTCTTTACGCTGTACGCCATCAAGAGCACTCAGAACTTGTGGGGACAGCAGGTACGCGTTTCGTTCGTTGTTGTTGTCGTTGTCATTGTGGTTGTTGTTGTTGTTGTTGTTGTTGACGCCCAATACAGGAGTTGTCCGAGATTCTACACTTCCTCAAGATGTGGAGGGATATATATATACATATGTTTGCGCCGTGGGACCGCTTCAAGTCGCTCCTACGCCTGATGACAGCAAAGAAACCAAGCAGAGATAGTCTTGGAGCAGTACGCCTGACGGACAGACAGCATTGGTACGGCTGTTGGCGGTGTTGCCCGGCAACGGTGCCGCCGGAAGCTCGTAGATGGAGCGGTGCCGAAAGGCATGCAGGGATGGAGACATCGCGATAACTATGCATAGAAGGGCGATGACGGTGCACTGCTGGGGCTGATGACGGCGTTGGTGGTAGCAGCAACGGCCATGACTATACCACTCCGGTACATGATCACGTTGACGATGTTGGTGGCAGCGATGTGTTAATACCGAAATCGAAGCATTAAACTGTCAGCGGCTGACTAAGTCCAACGCCTGGACTTGATTTCGGCTGCTATGAAGGTGGATCGTCTTGGGACCCGAATGACCCATCACTTTCATCACTGCGGGAATAGACGGCGAGCATTATACCCACGTTTTAGGCCATGAAAAATATCGTCCGGAACATGAAGAAATTGTCCGAAAGAACATTTACTTGAAAGTATTCTTACTTTTCTGGTATATTTTTTGGGTTTTTGGAAGACTAAAAATGAACCGTGTTGCCCCCCCCCCCCCCCCCCGGAAAAAACAAACAAACACAGGACCTGTACTATATGTTCAGCTTCGGGGAGTTCGATGAGCTGGAGGCAGGGCAGGGGAACTTTTCGGTCTGGGAGCTGTGGCTGTTCATCCTGGTGGGGTGCATGGGGGGTCTGATAGGGGCGTGCTTCAACCGCATGAACCAGAGGCTTTCGACGTGGAGAAGGTCGGTGCCAAAGAGAGTTTTTCCCGCTCCTGAGCCTTTGACGCGTTCGAGTGTTTGCGCACGCTCGTCTTGTTTGGTTGGAACGCGTGAGAGCACGAACGCGACTGGCACAGGGAGACAGGACCATATTGCAAGACAACAGCATTACGGCTACTTGACACCACCCACAGCCACGGACACAGGGAGGGCGGACCGCATTACAAAACAACTTATTGAGAGTACATTTTTCAAGTTCTATCCGCTGAGCGGAAGAGCAATTTGGCACCACAGCAGTAGCACCAAAGTTAAGACCAACAGCAAGGTTTTCACAGGGCCTGGCGTGCACCCCCCCCCTTCTTTTCTCGCGCAGGAAGCACGTGTGCACGCCGTTCTTGAGGCTGATGGAGGTACTCGGGGTGACATTTCTGATGACGGCCGTGTGTTTCGTCATGCCCATGCTTTGGGGCGTCTGCACGCCCAAGCCGGTGGACATGGAAGATTGGACGGAGCAGGCAAGGACAACAAAGCAAGGCAGCGCGACGACACACAAATTACGCACACAAGCACGCACAAGAAATAAATTATTGTGCTGAGTAAGATTTATCAATCGTGTATCAAGAGTTTGTTTGGGGGGGGAAGTGTACTGGTTACTCTTACGTTTGAGATGTTCTTGGTGTTTTTTTTCACACCAAGTCCCGGTGTACCTACCAGAGAGAACTCCTCGTGGATGAAGCACTGCTGGCGTGCGGCGACACCGAGCGCCCCCCCCGCGCGCGCGCGTACGTCTGAACTGTGCACGTGGCTGGTGGCACATTCATTTTGTCGCTTGCTGTGCAACTGGTTTGTGCCTGGGACCTCTCGTTTCTCGATTTCGTGGCGAAATATTGCGTTGTGGCTGTGGGCAATCAATCTCAACCTGTGTATCCTACGTTGTTCTTTTTTCGACGGGCGGGCCGGGGGGCACGCAGGAGAGAACCCTGGTCGATGAGCTGGTGGCCTACAACTGCGACCCCAACACGGAGTACAACGAGGTGGCCAGCCTCTTCCTCCGCGATGCCGACACGGCCATCCGACAGGTGCGCATCTACCACACCTTATCTGGAGAGTTTTGTCGTGTTTTCAAGCAGGAGGAGCCCCTCTCTCCGTGTGTTTGGCCACGGATCGGATATATCCTACCTTGCAAAGCTTGTGCTTGTGAGCGCTGTTTTTATGCGATGACAAAAGAAAAAGAAGCAGTTACAGAGTAGGTTCACCCGACAGGGGACCGTCGTAGTACCTCGATTTTTTGTTCTCGCCAATTGGCTAGAGGGGTAACCGCTGCTGCTGTGAGATGGTACGGGTGGGCGGCATGCGACCGCCATGCTGGCGTCTCTTTGACGTATCCCCCCGTGCCACCGACCGCTTTGTTTTGTTGACCAGCTCTTGGTCGGGTATCGTTTTATTGAACCGTGTCATGCTTGTCGCGTATACATATGGCAAAATACGTTCCACGACCGTCTCAAGGTCTTAAAATGCTCATGGAGAAGGGGCGTTACTTGCACCGTTGCGGCATCAACGAGGGCAATCTCTCTTTCTGTTTTCGGTGCGAATGGCGCAACACACAATGAGAAAAACGACAAGATTAATAACCGAGCCACCGGACGTGCTCTCCACCCCGCCCCCCCCCCCGCCCACCTCCGCGCGTCCAAACACAACATTCTGGATTACCATACCATGATGGAAATTTAAATTTCCGTACCGCACGGAAAACCATACGATTATGAAACACCGTGCGATGAATATGGAACATTCCATACCGTACTCCAGCTGTTCCACTTCCGAGAATCCGGACGTCGCGAGATCTCCACCTTCTCTTCGGGGGCCCTGTTCGTCTTCTTCGTGCCCTACACCATCATGGGCTGTCTCACCTACGGTATCGCGGTCCCCAGCGGTCTGTTCGTGCCCTCACTTCTCTCCGGCGCGGCCTTCGGTAAGCTACGCATGGGTTGCAGCGCCTCGTACGTGTGGTTGTGGTATGGCTGCGCGACCGACTTGGCTCAAGATTCTTGTCGGCCGTTGGTGACCTTGCGACTCGTCGTCCGTGTAATGCGGTGTATGACTGCGCGACCAACTTGGTTTGACGGGGGGGGGTGTCGAGGCCGATCGAACATTAACATTCGGTAAGCTAGGATAACTTGCAGCTCGTCACGCGCGTGTGGCGGCATGGCGGCTACGCGGCCAACTTGGCTTGACATATTTGTTTGTCGAGGTCGATTGAACATTCGACGAGCTAGTTGCAGCTCCCCAGGCGTGTGCTGCGGTGTATGACTGCGTGACCAACTTGGCTTGACGTTTGTTTTTGTGTCAAGGTCGATTGGACATTCGATTGGCTTGGAGCACCTCTTGCGCGTGTTCGGTATGATTGCGTGACAAAAATCGGCTTGATGTTTGTTGTTGTCGACCGTCGTCGGCGAGCGTGAAGCACGTCATGTATTTGGGTGTTTTTTTTCGATATGGCCGCGTGGCCAAGTTGCCTCGGTCACCCTCGACGACACCATGGCCACTAGCCACAACAACACCACCTTCGACAAACGCTGTGGTTATATCTCGAATGGGATACAGTAGGGGGCCCGGTTTAGCGACCCCCTGTTTAGCGACATGCCCTGTTTAGCGACCACAAAACCACGTCGCATCGCCGCACCCCGGTAAGTATGTATTACTGCCATGTAATTGGTAGTTCGGTTCAGCAACCTGCCCTGAATAGCGGCCACATTTCGTCGTGACACTACTGCTGTAGGGATCGCTAACCCCCCCCCCCCCCCCCCCCC